ACCTGGAGTCTCAACTCGCGCGGTCCCACCCTGACTTCCAAGTCGCGCGTGATCGCCAGTCTTCTCTCGCTTCGGAGCTCCGTGAATCAGCTACATCCCACCGGCCCCCTCAAGCAAAGGTAGATCACGCCACGGCCGCGATCGGACGTAAGACTCGTCGCTTCCGCACCTTGCGTGAAAACTATGAGCGTCGCTTGAGGATTGCCGACAGCACGATCGCCACCAATTCCGCCGAGCTTGATCGTTTGCAAGATCGGGTATCGACACTGGATCGAGGTCTCCAGCGGGCTTCCCAGCACGTTTGCATGGCGACCTCTCAGCGCGATCAAGCCAGGATAGAGCGTGCCACTCGTGAGTATTATCTGCCTTCCTATGTCGGAGTCATACTAATTCATGTCCTGTGTCACAGGGGATCGTGTCTCAGCGGCTCGGGACACTATCGCCCGGCTGGAGAAGCGGATTAACCAGGTCGAGAAGTCTCAGAAGTCGCTTAAATACCTCGAGGCCGCGCTCGCAGCACTTCAGCAGGAGAGAGACAGTCTGGCAGTCCAAGGAGATGAGTTGTTCGGCCAGCTTGGCGAGCGTTTTATGGAGGTCACTGATCTACGGGCTGAACGGGACCAGGCGCAGTAGAGGTTGTCGAACATCACGTCCCTACTTCCTTCAACCCTGGGTCATAAATGAGCCCGCTCGGAGCCCGATTATCCAGCTCCCCCCGCTCGCGTCCCCAAGGCTGCTCGATCAACTCCAGGTCCCTTCCCGGCTGGCACCTTGAGTGAGGGCCCTACGTCTAGATCTTCGATCGAGGTGTTGTCTGCCGTAGCTGCTGACCAGAAGGCAGAGGGGTCGGTGTTGTCTCCTTCGTTCGCTGGCCTTCCTGATCATCCTCCTCGATCCACTCGATCCACTCGATCGACCACCCAGGATGGTAGCGGAGGCGCCTCGTCCCTTCCTGCAGAGTCCGAGTCGTGCGTGCTCTCCAACGGCGGCGAGAGTTCCTCCGGCAAATCCAGTTATACTCGCGTCTTTGACTCGGACGCCACGGGAAGCGACAGTGGTTCTCCGGAGTTGAGTCGCGCTCGGGATCAGTTTGGCATGCCATCCGGTCCGCTATCGGACGCTGAACTGGCGGATTTACCGCGTACCACAGTTCTCCGGTCGGAGTGGATCCCCGGTTATCGTGATCGTCGTAGCTTTCCCAGCCATAACATCGTCCTCTGGTGGAGGAATTGGTGGCCTCGCCCACTCTGGCGTACAATATAGTATAAAGAAAGCCTATTAGTAACATTTGGTACAGTGTACCAGGATAGGAAGATGCTATCCTCAACAATCATGTTAAGGTGGCGCACATTCCAGAAATTCAGTCGCTCGAACGAAATATTTCAACCGATAAATTTGCGGAAATATCTGACGATACACCAGCGTTTCCAAGGTGTCTGTTGTGACCCTTTCAGAAGCTGATTTCCGATCAAATCGGGAATGGACGAGCACTAGTTCCATGTCGAAACATATCACTGATTCCTACTAGCAGTAGGCAAAACCTTTGCTGTTGACCGCAGTTGACTGATTTTTCTATCATCGCATTATACCAAGTGTCAAGTTAGACAGTTTAATCAAGAGAAGTCTACGACTTCGGTGGAAATTAGTTCCTATTAAATACGACAGGATATCACGATATACGTGCTCATCTTAGACAGGTAATCTGTAATCTTTGATTTGTGAATTTGGTGGCAAAAAGGTTTGTTACATTTCCAGAAGTGCGAAGGCTTCGGGTTTCAGCAGCACAGTAAAGCAGCCCTCATGCGATGTGGGGATAGGAAGCCATGTTGTACTGCTCGCGATCATTCACAAGTACAAACTGAGGCAGGAATGCTCGGTTTATGGTGTTGATTAGTGATAAAGCATTTATTGGTTTAAATGGTGCAACGGGATCGTTCTGTTGGCTGAAAAGTTATCTGGAGATGCGAACCAATTAGAGATGGAGATGGTCGCCAATCTCCATCTCCAGTAGAACGCGAACAGGTTCAAACATGCTTTGGACAGTACAGTCAACTGCAACTTGCAGCTCCCCTGGCGTGGGACCCCTGTCTGCTACAGACTCTGTACCTGTAGTGAAAAGCATCGCCTGCGACTGATCAAACAACGCTGAGCTCCTCTCGAGCTCCCGCGGTGGGTGAGAGTCCCACCGAAGACCGCTAGTCGTGCATCGCTCTTGAGATCTTGCGCTGCAAGAGAGCACGCAATGGGACAGCAGCATGAGAACATTTCACAGCGTGCGTAGCGACGAGAAACACAACCGTAGTCACTACGTAGTGATGTTGTGCTGAATGCCAGCTAGATGTACATTATAGTAGAAATCACTACGGCAATGCGTCTTCAAACACGCTGCAGACTGCTCTTCTGCGCAGAGAAGGTGGGTGCCGGAGACTTTCAAGTCACACTGGATCAAATACTTCAAGGTATTTTGTATTAGAATACATGTTCTATCTGAATATGCTACTGTCACCATATTTTTGTGAAGCCGTTGTGCCTATTCAACACCACGAGGATCCCATCTTCCAGAACAAGACAGTTCTGAGAGCCGGCGTTCGTCCGACTACAACACTGGAACTGCCATGACACACACAAAACGAGGACTTTGTGCCAGCCAACTTGTTGAATCTCTTGCTGTTCGTATGTAGCGGTGCAACTTGCTTCAAGCAATTTTACATGACATCAACCGGGAAAGTTTCTTTGCTGCTGGATCGTAATACGTGAGTCTTTTTTCTACAGTGAAACGGTTGGCTGTCCGGGTTGTTTGCGGGCGTGACGATTTGTATTTTGTACTATTTAATAGTACATGTCAAGTACTTCGAAGTACTTGTAGGTCATTCTTTCTATAAAAAGACGAAGTATTTCTTCAAAAGATCCGAGGAGTGCCCATTTTTAAACATGAAATTGCCATAATAATAGGGCAACGTAGGATTGACACTTTTATATGCTGTAGCAACACTACAGTACGTGAGGTATAAAATATAGTGTATAGTTTACAAAACCATTGTCATTCCTGTCTACTAGACTTAGCAGTAAACTCTCCTTTTGCAGATTTCGATTTGAAAGTGCAAGGTCTCTAAAACTGCCCATTTAATAACGGTTTTCTAAATGGTCGAACAATGTTTTTATGTTTTTGCTCCAACGTTTGATAGGTTTGTGGTGGTCGTACACCTGGGCTCACTTGCGACAACAACAGCGGCCATCCACGTGGCGTGATAAAGTCTTGGCGGAGCACACATGCTGGTTTGATGTGCAGTGCAAATTTCCATAAACTCTTGTACAAAAAGTCAGCCAGCCAGTATCAATACACTACTTTTATGGTACATTATGAACGTACATCGAAAGAAACGCGGAAACTAGAGCAACTACAGTATCTGTACTGGTACAGCGAGGTGGGAACAGTATCTGTACTGGTACAGTAAGGTGGGAATGACGTGGAAGTTTGCTGGCGGACAATGCTCTCTCTGGCATTCTATGCCAATGCGTTATATGTTGAAAATACAAGTCCATCGAGCCACCTGTTGTTTTTCTTGAAGTGGTACATGTACACTAACCTTCAAGGCTTGAAGGTTCCAAATTCAAGTTTCGTCGACACAGTGCGTGTGCCCTTTAGAAACAGCAGCAGATGTGTACATGTACTGTAAGATAACTTTTTGTAAAAAGAATCGTAGTACTGTAGTGACTTTTTACTGCTGCATGCATTGAAATACCAGCGCAGGTAGATAACGACGGCATGTATGGACCACCAGCAGCTTGTGGTACAAGTTGTGCAATACTGTGCAATCATCAGTTCCATGTAATTATTGGCAACAGCTTGGTGGTTGAACATTTCATCCCGATGTTCAAGCAGGTCCAAACGGCGGTCTGAGCAACTTACAGCTTGTTCAACAAGCAGTTGCTGGGCAAGTTGGTGTGAGGAGGAAATGGGTTCGGGTACTGTCCGTGGCCGCTTGCAAGCGAGATTTCATCGGCTTTGTTCTGATCGCACCAGCTCTACCAGCGGTACAACGAGCAGACTGGTTCCGAGCACAGTTCCCGTCGCAACGGGCCAGCGATCCAACTTCCTGAGACTCGTCACCAACTGAAAACCCGATGACACGGTTGGTGAGATCGGGCCAACAAGATGCCAGCACACCATCCCTCGGTTTCGGGGTTCATCATTTAGAAATTTGCGGTGCTACTCGCAAGAGTACCAGGAAATTCCTCGAGGATGTTGAGGACATGGCAGGCATTCCTTCTGCTGTTCGTAATGGCTTTGTACCTGAAGGCTGGCGTGGCAGTCAACATCGACTTCAGTGCGGCATCCCACGACTCGCGAGGTAGCGGAGATGACGGCGAAGACATCGTGGCCCCTCCATCCCGCACGGACACTCCAGACATCTCGGAGCCCACGGAGCTGCCCCCAGCACGGGCGTCCGAATCTGCAAGCAAGGACGACAAGTCATTTTTCTCGTACACAGTTGTTCCAGACATCCAGCTGAACTTTCCTACCAATGGAACTGTACCGAATTGGGTGGGTCCGAGTATCGGAGACTATGCTGACACGGCGTGCTACCGGAAGACGCACAAGCAGAACTCGCAAGGCGGGTGTCCTCAGGGATACCACGCCAACAAGCACCGATGCTGGGCACAGTGTCCCATCGCGTACCCCGTCCAGTGCCTCACTGAGTGCATCCCACAGAATGATGACTGCATACTGGAGATCATGGCCAAGGTCACAAACCCTGGCTACGTCCTCCTGAACATTGCAACTGCCGGAGTATTCAACGCTATCTACAAGTCGTTCAAGATGGTCAAGACAGGTCTCATGTGCGCCTTCAACATATTTAATATTGCTGAAGGCATCTCGCGTTTCATGCGGTTCAGACAGATATATACGCCGAACGGGACCAAGGAGGAACTTCTCGCTGCTGTGTACCAGACGGACTTGTTTCTCATCGATCTCCCGGTCGCTATCACTGCGTGTATGGGCTACCCAGTCCCCAGGTATGCGTACTTTGCCGACGCCATTGTGACTGCCGCGGAAACGTTCGTCAAGCAGCTGATGATTAACCACAACTTGATCATGAGCTCGGTCGACTCCTTTATGCGGTTCTTCAAGAACTCCACACTAGGCAATTCCACCAGAAACCTCGACGCTGAGACCGCCACGAACCTCACGACTATGCTGGACTCTGGCTCCAGATGTGGGTTTGAGCTCAAGAGACTCACGGACCGCGTGATTATCAAAGTGGGAGACATCCGGGAAGCCAATCCTTCAGCAACCAACGAAGACATCCGCACCGAGATGAGCCAGTCGTCGATCGTACTGAACGACGTTCCGACAGTGACCAACAACTGTATGCGCGACTTGCTCAAGACCAAGAAGCCGTACGCGGCGTACCAGACGCGTGATATCTTGAGGAAGACCTTTGGCGTGATCATCGATCAACTGATCGATAAGTCCACCACGGACTTGGGCAAGGCTAAGGCGAAGGAAGAATACTGGCTCTCAACTGCCAACTTGGGTCTTCTCGGCCTCTCAGCTATGGATCCCTCGGGTATCGCCTTCACAATGTACAATTATGTACAGCCTGTGTGTGGTCCAACCGAGTTCATAGGTGAGATCGACGACGGATCGGCCACTGACGCGCTTGGGCTCTCGACGGTTGACGATGCGTTCCGTGGCAGTAAAGGCACGTGGACCAAGAAGGGCGACGGAAAGGTGGTACTCACGTTGGCTAGTACCGATACTAAGGACGTGGATGTTATCATTCACTCTGGAGGCAAGAAGTTTGCTTCAGTCAAAGTTTGCAGCGGACAGACAATCATCTGGACGTCGACAGTGAAGGAGCTGCAGGAGAAGACCATGTATCTGGACCGTTGGCGTCCAGGCTTCCTGGGTCTGCCTGGTTCAGGTGGTGGCTCTCTTCTGCTATGGGTTCCGAGGTCTTCTGAAGGCGGCCATCTCGAAATGACCGTCAAGATCAACAAAAGCTAGAGTTAGAATAGTTAGGACTCAATAAATTATGAGCGCGCGAAAGCGTGCGCGTTGGTTGGTGACCCACCATCCGTACTTACTTAAGCTCAAAGATTAGAGAGTTGATCTCTAAAGAAACGTTGTACTATCCAATAGCACTGTAACTTAGTACTAGTACACTCCGCGACAAGATATATCACCCACCCGTATTTTAGTCCGTAACTCGCTGAGTTTTACGAGTTATCTGTTGAGATTTCGACAGGCTGCTTTTCCTAGTTATAGACGACCGAGGTTTGTGCTAACGCCTGCGATTTCGCAGAGCGAGGTG